TGTACACCCAAAACCAGACTATCAAAGATTAAAGAAAAAAAAATGGCATCCAGGGTTGGGGAGTAGAGCTAGGATTTCCTTTGACTGTAGGAACAATAGTTTTAACCCGAAATGTAAAAGCTATCTCATCTGGGAGGAACCTCAAAGATACTCCCTTCCTAACCTTCAGATATTCCCCTGCTGCTAATGAAGGCCAGATACGGTTCTGGCCTGAGCTGTGCTCAGGCTGAGATCTGCTCTGTCCTGAATTTCCTCAGAAATTATTCATGCATACACAGAAGAGCTTCACATTGGTAAACAATGTGTATTTAGCTTGAAGTTCAATTGTGGTAAGAGTACAGCACCAGAGATGCAGGCTGTATCTGTAGAGTTCTAGCTGGAGCAGTTTCTTCGAATAAGATCTGTCTATATCCATATTCATTTGGAGTTCAAGGAGTTCATCGTAGGTGTGCCAGGATGTGCCATAAATGGAGTAAGATTTACTGAGAAAAAAGGAAACTTGGGAACAATGGACGTTTAAACTGAAAATAAGCTTATTTTAGAGGTTTTCAAATCTCAGTAGGAGAGATATAAGCAGTTATGTGGGCATTCCTCTTATCAGCAGAAATAATGTTTTTATTACAGCATTCTCACCAGGACAGTAATCTCTTAGTTTTAAGTATGCATTTTCTGTATATTGGGACAGGGGGAAATCTGCAGGAATAAAATGAGAATGACAAGTGCTAATGTTCAACATGAAATATTGAGTGTGTATTGTTAAAGTAGTACAAGCCTTTCCAGTCCGTGTCTAGAATTAATTTATAATGTGAAATAAGCTATTTAAATGTTAATTAAGCAGAATGTGGTCTGTGATCTGTAATGGTTTCAAAAGATATCGTTTGCAGTTCTTTAAAAAAAAAAAAAGTATAATGGGCTACAGACATGAGTTGACTGCTCAGCCCTGAGATACGAGCATATGAGGTGCATCAGTTTCAAAGTAAACCTGTGGTATAAACTGACTAGGATCATGCCCTAACCCTTTGCTTTATTAATTAGCTAAGCATGCCTTTGTTAAAGTTGCAAGAGGAAAAAATAGTTTGATTAAAGCAGTTTGTATACAAACAAAACATTTGTGGATAATTTCTTAAGCTAATTTTCATACTTCTTGCAAACAGAGTGCTTATTTCATCTCACTGAATGTTAATAAAATGTTTTTCTTTTTCTAGGGTGAAAATCCTATTTACAAGAGTGCAGTGACAACTGTGGTCAATCCTAAATATGAGGGAAAATGAACACTGCTTGTATAACTTCACAACACTGTATGCAGCATAGCAATTTTTGTAGTCACAGTAAGATAGATTTAGGGCAAACTGCAGTGATTTTACTAATTCATTACATATAGGTTTGTTTTCCTGTTCAGGTTTTGAGAATGTACCATATGTAATTTTTTTATTTTTTATTTTTTTCAAATAAAAATAATCAGTGCCGAGGTCTGACAAAAAAACTTGAGACTGTATAGCCTAGTCAGCTAAGGTCACATGGTGCCTTTTTGACCTTTTTCCACTCCCTTGCTGTGAATCTTCGACAGGGTGTGATACTGCTATGACATGATGGGAGGGAAATGGTTAAAGCAATCAGCATGAGGGCTCTGCCTAGCCATTTAGTATTAAATTTTTTAGCTTTACAGGGAAATCAGGGCTTGAGTTTGCAGGTATAATTAAACTCATGTAGCATGGAGCTGGTGAATAACTGGTGTTCTGCTTACTAGATGTATGATTAAGTATATGGTAAGTTGAGTAAGTTGGAAATGAGGAGAGTAAAGGACTGAAAAAGCGTGTGTATACTTATTTTTAAATTTTAATTGCTTATTGCCGGGTTATGGTTAAGATGAAAGGGTTTGGAAAGAATTTTAAGAAGGAATAAATAGCTTTAAAACACGTGCCATTACTGAAAAAGTTGCTGACTGGTAACTTGCCTAGTTTTTCTTTGTAAATTCAAGCCCTGGGTGGCAGTATCGTGAAGTACTTTACCAAGACATCCTCAAAACCCATAAGGGCCTTATGTCATACTGTGTCTTCTGTAATTTTTCCTTAGTTTAAAGCCTGGTGCTTTGTCACCCTTCTAATCTTTTTAATGTATTTGTTTGCAATTCTTTTTGTAATATTTTTGTATCAACACAAGCTTTTTTTTTTTTTTTGGGCAGTCTTAGCTGTAAATTTGCCTTTGCCCTGTAGCTAAGATTGCATAGTTTGTCATGTGACGAGTCACATATTTTTGACATGTGCCATGTATATTTGCCTTTGACCATTCAAACTGCATCATAGTCATCTTCTTGTTTTAAGTGCCTTTTTATTTTAACAGATGTTCACTTTTTACAGTGCTATTACTGAAGTTATTTATTAAATAAAAGTACCTTAAAATACTTGAATCTTGTCTCTTTGTCTTTTAAAAGATGATACTATTGGGGAAAAAAAAAAGAACTATGTATGGGAAAGAGGTAATAGATATCGTAATAATACAAAGCACATCTTTTACATCAAATTTGAGAAAATTTAGGTTAAAAAGGTAAGTTATGTAAAAGTGATCTCAAGTAAAAGAAGTTAGTTGTTGTATAAAAATGCATAAAGGCCAGGGTGCAGCACATACAGCATCAACGTGTCACGTACAGTGACAATTGATGTTAAGCCACTGCCTTTTATTTGTATGTGTGCTAAAGAAGTTCTGTCATCTAACACTCTTCTACCAAGTGGACTATGTGGGTAATGCTGTTTCACAACACACAACATTAGAAAAATAATGCATTTTTAGAAAAATAAAGGGTTAGTGAAGTTTTAAGGGTGCAATGTTCCAGATATATTATCTGTATATCTATAATCACTTTGTAATTAAAAACATTGTATAGTATGTTCATGGAATCAACTCTATGATTTTGGAGTTTTGTTTTGTTTTTTTTAAAAAAAAACTTTTCAGGATAAACTAAAGTAGCAGTAGATAGGGTGTGTCTGTGTGTGTTGGTGTCTTCAGGGGGGAGGATCTGCAGGGCTGCTGGAGCAGGGCCTTCACAGCTATCAGCAACAGGGGAATGGAGATCCAGGGGCCAGCTGCTGGTTAAACCAAGCCCAGTCACTGCAGGGACACACAGTGTCAGTCCGTCTCCCACTAGTGGGCCTTCATTCTAATCAGCCAGACAGGGGAAATAGGATGAGGTCATTCATCCCAAGTGCTGTTTTCTGTCAGTGCCTATGTATGTACTATATACATATTTTGTGTATACACACTTGCTCTGCGCTTCAGCTCACTATTAATTAGCCCTGGCAACATGGTGCTGCAGTCTTGCTTCTCCTGGGCTAATGGATTTGGCAACAGGTGTGGTTTTTGCTGGTCAGTGCAAATGAGAGCAAATTCACAGATCAGGAGAAGCCATGCAGTATTGTAGCCTGCTGCCCTTCATAATGAAGTCCACAGTACTGCTCTGGATTGCTTCTTACTTTGTGTTCTCATTCCAAATATGGAAAACAAAGGCATTGTAAGTAATAATTTAATCAGATTTATTTTGGACAAAATTATCTATAGCAAAAAAGTTGGTACTTCTATTTTTTAATCCATTTTCCCTAAACACTGTCAATGTTTATCCATTTTCCCTAAACATCAATGTATGACAGCCTAATTCAATCAACTGGTGTTTACATATTATTCTTAGTCAAGTAGCTGTCTTCACTTTCTATCTTCACTCTCTATCCAAAAGGATTACATGATCAAATATTGTCCAGAACACCTCACTATCTTTGTTTACTATAAACATGACTAAAAAGAGATATCAAAACACCTTTTTCTAAAGTAGAACTATTTACTGAAGCTTTGGTTTTGATCAAGGAGAAGAGGTAATGAAGAATACTCCAGCTACAAAGCTGTGCTGTTTACAGGCTGTTTTCTAAGCAATTCTCTTTCTTGAAAAAGAATCAAAAGTATTCAGCAGAAAGAAAATACTTATAAGCAACCGTGAATACAAGTATCATGACACAGTGCTGCAAAGTAATTCACATGAATGCCGGTTAATCACATGGGATTAATGTATTTCTCATTAAAATGGATAAATTGCAGCTAGGAAGAAAAACCACCTCTATGGCACAGTATCAAACAACTTAATGATGTTGGGGTTAAATATTAATTTTTGAAGGCAGGACTTTTTTTTTTTAAATAAGATTAATGATGAACTGAAGAGAATAATACAGATCCATCTAAGAAACATCTTAGAAAACAAGATGAACAAAATATTGTCAATGGAAAGTTAGCAGATACACTGTATATTCGTTCTTCATGGGATGGTTGTATGATCTGTCTTGACATGCTTTAACACTGTTACACAGTACATAAACCAAGTGTTTTGATCCAGAGAAGATCTAAGAGCACTGCATTGTTGATTCTCTGTGAAATTATAAACTCATTTCCATGTCTCATTTTACATATATTAGGATTGTCAAAGCAAACCTTAATGCACACTTTATATTTAATGTCACTGTTAAATAATTTGAAGAATAAGACTTCCATTATCAGTCTGCAAACTATATTCAATAGTCTTTTACATGTCATAGTTTTCTTGCTATTTGAAATTTAAGTTGTACTTCTTATCAAGATACTCATTATCAGCTAAAACTACCTCAGTGTGAAGAATGAATTAACACTGTAGATGTAAGTTTAGAGTGTTCCTCATATGTTAGGTACTGTGGATTTGCCTCTAATACACCTACTCATCATGACCTGCTTTTTTCCTTTCCTCTGCTAACTATGAGGCTGTATACCAAAGAAAAGGATGGAGCCAGTACATGGCACTTATACAAGGTGTGATTGGTGTTAAAGATTGTCTCTGAAATGAAAACTGAAGTGCTGAACATGGAAAAAATGCAAGCATTTTTTTCAACAATACTATCATGGCAACACAAAACAGTCCATATAGTTTAAGAAAACCACTCCACTGCATTCCATTAGATCAAGTAATTAAGTGATATAAAACATACTGAAAATGAACAAAATATTTCTTTATTCTCATCATATTTAGTTTTTGTTAGTACAGGATGAAGACAGGTGAAAAATAAATGCATATCTAAAGTGTCAAATATTTTACTCTAAAAATATTTCCTAACCAAAGCACAGGCTCTAAGAATAATCAGTAATACACTTGTGGAAGAGTATGGAATCAAGATCAAAGCCTACTTCAGAGCCCCATAAAAATAAAAAGGCACAGAAAAACAGTAAAACAGATCAAATATATCTGTTCTACAAAAGCAGTAATAGTCTAAGCATTTCTGCTTTCTTAAATAAGAATGCTGATGCAATAGGTGTATCAGAAAGCCTAAGGGTGGTAACTGATTGGATATTATTGGAAGACTGGAAAACAAACCATCTACAGCAATTCTTAATTTCAAAATGGCAAAGTATAAAAACACAGACCTTTCCAGTTGGATTCCAGGTTAGTATGCAAGTCTATGCTCTGTTACCTCCTGATTTTTTCTCCTGAAAGTAGCAGATTTACCTTTAATCTAATATATTAGAAAAAAAACATGTTGATGCTTCAAGGTACATGGCTAAGGAGATACCAGTCAGCTGCTTTATATTCAGTTTTTACACTGTGCAGGAATTTACCAGAACAGAAGATCTAGCTATTTGAATATAGTTCATAACATATGGGATATTCAAAACCACCTAAGACTTTGAAGTATGTCCGTGAGAATTGGTGTTTTAGCAAAATAAACCACATACCAACCATTTTAATCCCCAAAACTAAAATGATGATTGTGTTCCCATTTGAAACATTATCCATAGTCAGCAAGTAACAAACGTTAAATAAGAATTATGAAAAATAAAATTGCAGATCACTTACTGAATTGCACTGGCACTTGTGTCATCTTCATCCATTCAGGATCCAGAGCACTAAGCCTCCCCTGGGTGTGGACAGGTATAATACAGTTCAGAGGCTGTTTAAACTTGCCTTTGCATCCCCATAGTAAAAACAATACACTAAATATCAGGTACAACACTTACTCCAAGTTGTTTCAAAAATATTTACACAGAAGAATTAAACTATTCTATAAACTTCATGGACAGTTTCACAAAAGAGACCGTGCAGGTATATAAAACCCTGTCTCTGTACAGCATAAAGGGAAAAATGAAGAAATAGTTAAATAGTTTTCTGTCTGCTGAAACATTCACCTTATTATATAGTACATTTGAAAACATTTTCTTATTATAGTAACAATCTAGTATTTCAGACAAGGATCAGGAGGATATTTTTACATATATTCAAGTACTATGCTCTTAAGTTATCAGCCATTAAAAATATATTTTCTTTACAAAATACCAGAGTACCACTTAGGCAACCTAATATATCACTCTCCATTGCCAGAACTGCTCATTCCTTTAGTCAATGATTAATTTGACATATGCAAAAATAGACATTGCCTTCTAACTGTTTTTACATAGGTCTCAAACAAAAGAATTCTAAACAGTAATATTTTTCTGAAATCATTTCCATATTCATAAAAATCCAGTACTGTTACTCCAGGAAGATAAGACTGTCTCCAGAATTCCAGCATATTCAGTAACAATTTTGTGTCTGTAAGCAATACGGTGTCAGACTTCAGCTGTGTGCTCTCCACACGTACTGCCTGTTCGGCTAGCTGCCAGAAACAGTTTCCTGAAGGCAATGTTTCCTTTCAGATCCGATACCAAAATCACAAGAACTCTTCTGTTTTGGTAGCTCATTTAGTCTATCCTCTGCAAAAAACTGTAAAATATAGGTGGTTAATTGGAAAACTACCTTTATGTATTTTGTTTAAAAATTCAATCCTAACACACTGACCTTAAACATAAAACTTACTTTATATTGGAAATAACATCCATAATATAATAAGCCAGCCTGTAGAGTAAGTAATATTTAAAAGAAATCTTTGCCTTGAAAAGAATGTCTTCTCCTTGTATTTAAATAATAACATGAAACATTGCATAAGGCACAAAAGCAATGGCACTTTTTATTATCTTTGTCAGCCCTGCCCTCCCCTACATGTTATATATTTAAGCCCTGCAAAACAAAGATTATCTTGTGATTTGTATTCTAATCTCTGAATCATATTATCTTATTTTCCCATCTTACATGTTACAATAGCAAGAGGGAATCATGGTCAGATGTATGGATTGGGAATGTATGATGTCTTCTCCCATCTTTTCTTTCTCGTCCATCTTCTTCCTATTTTGGATGCTGTTGACCCATCTTGCCTTCCTGGCACTTCACACCCACTAGGCTTGAAGATTGCTTTTCTTGTTCCAGTCCATTTGAAGACTGTTCTTTTAGTCTTGATGAGCCTTTTTGCTGTTTTCCCACCCTCAGTATTCCCCAGGGCAGCATCCATTGCCTTTTTCCTCATCTCACATTATGTTCTCTCTAAGCAATTTCATCAGCTGACACATCTTCAGTTATCATTTCTATGCTGATGACTAATAAATCAAGCTCAGCATCAATTGTTCTTCCTGTAATATTCTCCCTCTGTCCTTTCAGATTACATCATTTCAAGGTTTTATCATCTTTGATGAAACTTCTGGAAAAAATCTATTTTTCTTTCCCAAGTATCTTTACTTTCCAAAAAATAACTTTCTGGATACTCAGGTACAAAATCTCAGGATACTTTTACAGTTTTCCCTCACAATGTTATTATAAAAAGCAGAGGGAGGATTGAAGATCTTGTTTCCTCTTTCATCACCAATGCCTGCTCTCTACTTAACATCCTCTCTCTTACCCTGTTTGGACAAACATAAGTGGCTTCCCTCCAGTCTTTATATAAGGTTAGGAAACCCTTATAAAAACCCTTTCGATTTGTTAATGTACCCTTGCTTCAACACTGTCCTACATGAATTCTTCCACCAGCTCCCAGTTCTCTGACATTAATTATATTTTTCAGTAAGTGTCCAGGTGCAATGAACATAGGTCTTTAATATATAATCAAACCTCATATTATGTAGACTATAGCTACTTACCAAGTTAAAGAAATATCTGAGCTAGTTTTCAATTAGCCAAGTATTGACAGAAGTTAATTAGCAACTGTCAAATGCCACAAGCAGACTTATTCCAGTCTGTGTTGAAGATAGGAAGCCAGAGAGCAAGCTAAAGATAAAGCTTGCTAGTGTAAGCATACAAAATTGACTCCTGTTATTGTTTGTTATGTTCAGGGAGACAGAATTACATGCTTCTGTAAACATGATTGCAAGGAAATTAAAACTTAGTAGTATTGATTTGTGGGAAGACGGGAAGATTTGAGGAAAGCTTAAGGACACAATCAGGACAATCATTTTCTTAGTATTTTTAATGCATAAGAAGCTTCTATTAGAGTACCAGAAGCCAAAAATGCTATGGTAAAGCAAACTCGTACAGATTGGAACATTTTCATTTTGTGCTATCAGGAGCTGTGCAAAGCAGATGTTTAAAGACAAAATAAACACACAGCAATTAATGAATAACATGTACAAAAGGAAGGACACCCAAGGAAGGAAAAACAAAGGAAAGACATGATTGGAATCACATTTCCTGCAGGAATGGCAGCTGTTTCCTGTCATCATCAAGGTGTGCCATGGGTATATGAGGGTAAGTCTGGGACTGCTTACCACAGTATAAAACCTTCATCAGCTGTTAATACAAAACTATGTTTAATCAATACCAGATTGACAAAAAATGCAATTTCATTTGTTCATGGCCAAACCTGTCAGGTTTTATTTTGCTTTCATTCAGCCCTGTCTGAGGAGGTACATGTTTTCAGGGAGGCTGAGGGCTGTAGAAAGCTATGAAACATCCATTTCCACAGGCATTGTTAAGGCTGGGAGAGAGAGCCAATTACGGAAACTCTCATTCCTTACAAGTGTCCATGTGATACTGCCCACTTCTGGTAACAAAAAGCAGTAACAGCATTAGGCTGGACTAGCAGAACCAGGTAATATCCAATATAAAATAAAAACTGACCAATATAAAAGTAGTGCTTAGACACTGCAAATGGGTTTAGTGGAAGTGGGTGTATTGCCTACAAATTAACAAACCCAAATTTGTTCAAGCTTATTTTCTTAGTAACTCTGAGCGCATTTTCATCTTCTTTCAAGCCTCCCTCCCTAAACAACGCAGAAGAAGCTGGTGTTTCTCTTTCCCTTCCAGGTCACTTCTGGTATGAGGAAGACAAGCAAAATAAGTTACTGTGTTTTCCAAAGTTTTTCCTGGCTGGCTAAGATACAAGATAACATTACCCCTGCTGAAAAGTTTCTCCTTAGAATAAAGCAACCCTGGAAAGCTATAGGCTATTTCCATAAATAGTGATTCTTGTATACAATTTGTGCGTAAATACATAGCCAATAAAGTAAATATCAAGAAAATGTAGTAGGAATTTAGGTTAGAACTCAAACTGAATTGGTTAGAATCAACCTAAACAGGAGAGCGAGCTCTACACGGAAGAGTTGTATGAGCTGGTCAAAATGGCATCATAAATGCCATATGTAATCACAGTATAGCATGTGATTACTGTATTTATACTGTGATTACTATGGCCAGTCACACCAAGACATTCCCTGCTATGTTTTCAGGGACAGCTAAGAGCAAACAGCTGAGGCTGTGTACAAAACTGGTACACAGAGCAAAAATTTTCTTTCCACCCCCTCGCAAACTAAAGCCTAAAATTATACTAAAACCACTGTGTTCAACAACTCATAGCCCTGTCCCCCAGCACATGCAATCCCATCTTTTACTGATATGTGATATAAACAGTTAATTAAATGATTAAATGTGAAAAAAACTAATTAAGAGGTAGGTCACTATGTACACAAACTGATGTTTTGATCTTTCCCACTGCTGCATAGTTACACTGCTGAAAAGTTAAATCCAGCTCCCTGATCACTATCAAGGAAATCAAATCACTGTGAAGAACATGGCATTATTGTATTGTTTTTAAACAACATAAAAATATAAAGAAAACTGGTAAGCAAGAAATTGTACCATTCACTTTTAAGAGGATGTATTATTGCTTTTTGTAGTTAGCATTTATGTGCAGCAATTGTATACGAAGTGTTTTTTTCAAAACAGAGCGCAGAGTACTATATACTGTCACTTACACTCAAAATAATGTTTGGCAAGTTTAAAAGCAAAGTGTTCCACAGCACTACATAAAAATATAATATATATTTTTGAAGTGTTTGGTACATTTTGGGTTACTTACAAATCCTCATAGCCAAGTCAAATATTAGAAGCCAATGCACAGTTCCAGAATAATCAGAGACAAAATGTTGCAAGATGATCGCATTTCCAGAAGTGGTAAAAATGAAAGAGCTCTCAGGCTTTTCTGATTTGGTTGGATAACCCTGACTTCAAGCTGACTCTAAGCACCTTACAAAAGACAGCAGAAAACACCTTTGGGGTTTTGGCTCTTGTGTTCAGCATGCAAATGGAAGGGCATTAATGTTTTCTCTATATATTCCTTTCCTTCTTAAGTAGATCAGATTTTGTTTTATACTTCAATTTTGTTCATGCTTTATGTACATATAGATTTTTAAACTAAAGTCACAATCTAGCTTACTGAAACTAAAGGAATACAATAAGAAAGAAGGGCTTATTTATAAACCATTTTCTAACATCATGAATCAAAGTCTTTAGTGTGAATATAATTGCCGCTATTGCATTCACTATTTCTGCATTTGTGGAAAAGCTCCCTCTAGTTACAAGCATTCATGACCTTTAAAGTAATGGAAAGTTAAAGACACCTTGACATTAGGATACAAGAAAAACTAGAAGAAACAAATACTTACTAGAAGAAATATTCTAAGAATTCAATTTTACATTACTGTTCCTCAGCAGATGGAAATTCTTTCCAACCTTGAAAAAAGTAAGAAGTAATCTAAATTTTAAGTCAGTCAAGACAATAGTTAAATTAAGTAAATCAATATCTAACTTTGTACAGACTGATTTTTTAATCAAATCCAAATCTTGTATTTTTAATTGTGACAGCCACACCAGTGGTTGGAATTAACCCACTTTAATTGTTTTTAACAGATACTAGTGCTTCAACCACAACTCAGTAAAAACAAAGTACCCACTCCCCTCATTTGTAAAGCCCCTTCTGTTATTTTTAAGTGCACGCAGAACAAAAAAGCCTCTGTTTCCTTGATTTCAGAAAACAGGTTCCACACAGGAGACAGAACATGTATTTGGACATATTCCCCAGGGGATTAACGACATGCCTTTTAACTGCGTTAGCTTACATGCTTCAAGGAAGACTATAAGGATGTTGTGAGGCTGTGCAGGGACAAAATTAGAAAGGCCTAAGCTCATCTGGAGCTCAGTCTGGCTACTGCTATTAAAGACAACAAAAAGTGTTTTTACAAATACATCAACACAAAATGAAGGACTAAGTAGAATCTCTGTCCTTTACTGGATGAGGGCAGAAGCTTAGTTACAAACGATGAGGAAAAGGCTGAGGTGCTTAATGCCTTCTTCGCTTCAGTCTTATGGGTAGATGACACCCCTAAGGATTTGTTTAATCTTAGACAAAAACTTACATGCATTCTAGAGGCATAATGAGAAGAACATCTAGTCAGATCATCCCAAGAACAGTCAAAGCTTTGCAAAGCTGCCAGAACTCACTTGGAGAAGAAGAAAGGGACAATGAACAAGCAGGAAAACACATATTCCCATGACTCTACCTCAGAAACTATTAACAATGACACATTTCACACTTTTTTTCAGGGATTTGGTCTATGGAGGGTTCAGGGGGAGATGGCCAACAATCATTTCTATCTGTCAAGTTATCTCCTTGAAACTGTAACTTCTAGTAGTTTAAAGGCTTTTGACTTGCTCATTGTGAAAACAGCATTTCTTTTACAAACAGCACATTCTCACAATGGACACTTCACAAAGGTAATGATAATACCACCTGCATCTACCCAAATCTGTTTCTTCTTACCACAAAGCAAGGTAAGAATTCACAGTAAGGCATCTTTTTCATGCAGTCTGTTCTTCAATCTTAACAAATACTTAAAAATATTCTTCAAAGTCAGCCTTACCTGCATACACTTGAGCTTCAGATGTTGTTTTATTATTATTTAGGGCTGGGAAGGAAGCTTAGAATTCATTTAAGTAACTTCACTGAAAACAGACAAGGCGAAGGAAGTACTCCAACACCCCAACATGAAACTGTAGAACCCAGGAACACTTACCTGCCAGCTTCTGAACTTAAGTCACTGCCAAACTACTTCCCAGTGAAATAGTACCACCAGGGTTTTACTGTACTGAGAAGGCACCACCAATGTAACTAGCTCATAGAGTCTCTAAAACTATTGCACAGAGATGGTAGAAAACATGAAGAAAAAGCAGCCTACTAGGGAACACTGAGTCCATTTCACCATGACAGTTGAAAAGCACCCGAGCTAACCTGAGCCTCAAACTCCCCCGGAAAGGCAATTCTTCCCATAACTCATCATGCTTCCTATATAGCAAAGGTCAAATGATCCCCACCTGGCAGATTTCACTTAACAAAGGTGGAGCCAAGAGACCTTGTGGAATAGGCTCATCTACCTGGCTTCAATGTTTTGAGGTCAATTGCTCCTTATTGCTAAGAGAAATAACCTGACAAGGGGCTTAGTGGTTAGCGTTGACCTAATGAATTAACTACAAAAGGTGCATAAGGGTCATATTTCTGTTAGTCATTCTGTGAGGAAAAGTAGTACAGAGCCTGTTAAAATAAGATAAATAAACATAAATAAATGAAATAAATAAAAGAAAAATGAAAACGACCTTAAAGGCAAAATTGCCGTCATAGATTTTCATCTGTCTAGTCAAGACAGATAAAGAATGTAGCAATCAGAATGACTTTTCTTGACATTAATGTTATTTCAATTTGATTCTCTGAGATCTCTTCTTTATGCAGGACTTTTCATAATCTAGCCCCGTGACCTCTGACGCTACTATTTATTTTGGCTGCATATAAACTTTCATGTATAAATGTCAGGATCCGGATCCCCACTCCCTATTCAGGTCAAGGACTGGGCTGAAGGTTTGGGCTTTAATTTGGTTACATGCCTACACTGCTGTTTCCTGGTAGGTCATGGACAGAAGATTGGCTGGCTTGGGGGAGCTTATGTAGACGTGGCTTTTAGGCTGCAGCAAAGCATTCCTCTAGATCTGGAGTTTTGAAGAGGGTTGCAGTCTCCAAGCTCAGAGCCAACTACATATTAGGCTGGATTTTTGTGTTCCTTGCACTAGCTCTTCCTTCACCTCCTCTTCAGAGACAAGGACACACATCTCTTTCGTGCTCCTTCATTAGTAAACAAACCAGGATAGATTAAAGCCTCTTTCTTCAAGTCAATAAGATACTGGGCTGCCAAGATGGTGAAGGGCCTAGAGAGGAAGACGTATGAGGAGTGGCCGAGGTCCCTTGGCCTGTTCAGCCTGGAAAAGAGGCGGCTGAGAGGAGACCTCATCGCGGTCTACAGCTTCTGCACAACGGGGTGTGTAGGGACAGGTGCCAATCTATTCTCTTCAGTCACTAGTGATAGGACCCCCAGGAACAGTGTCAAGCTGAGGCAGGGGAGGTTTAGGCTGGACATCAGGAAGAGGTTCTTCACTGAGATGGTGCTCGCACACTGGAACAGGCTCCCCAGGGAAGTAGTCACTGCACCAAGCTGTTGGAGTTTAAGAAACATTTCTTCTGGATGGTGTTTCTTCTGAATAGGATAATTTCATTTCCCTTTTGAAGACTTACAAGGATGTAGTAACAAAAGCAAAGGCGTAAAACAGTACCTGAGGCAAGGCTACTTTTCAGCCTGCAGCAGACTATAGGTATGATATCATTTCAGACAACTATGATCGACATAATGTGAAGTGTTCCGGCATGCTTACAATCTGCCAAAGGCCAGAAGGAATTTTTGTTCACCTAAATTTTATTATTATTATTTTGTAACAGCTTCAGGTGTCCACAAGGAATTTTACCCCCCTTCTCTTCCCCTCCCCCCCCCAAAAAAAATTGTTCATCACACGTTCACACCTATAGTCACACGATAGCAGTGTCTGGGCCTGGAACTGGTTAACCCAGCCGGGGCTGTGCAATTCAGAAATGAATAATGTAGGATGTCAAAGAGCAACCAAGTAATCTAAAGTCCTTATTGTTACTGCAGCCTCAGACTTTAATTAAAATAATCTGACATTAAAGTGCAGTTAGATGTGGCCTCTAACATCAATACTTTCTGTTTTACACACAGGCAACAGGTGGTGTATTCCCATCACATACAAACAAAAAGCAGAAATGAGCCTTTTAGACAGGGAAGGAGGAGAATCTCTTTCTCACCCTGTGGGAAAAAGAGTAAATAAATCTTTCCAATACATCAGACTTAATGTATACATAAACCCCAAAGAGAATCCTGTTTTAGAGAATCCTGTTTTAAAATGTGGAGGGGGAGAGGTTGCTAAGCACAACAGGGACCTTCTGTAATGGAAAATTCTCCCATTACAAATAACCTGCTTAGATCAAATATAAATTCAAGGAGAAGCATGAGATGTAACAATAGAGTGCAGTAAATTTATCAACAGAAATATAATTTAAATAGCACTCCTTGATATATACATAATATTTTCATTAGGAGTGCTCAGCTCCAGTGAGAGAGAAATCATCCCTGAATAAACAAACAGAAACCCCTTTCCTGCCATAAAGTCTAAATAAAACAGAGTAGCATTTACATGATAGATTAAATAAAACAAGAGCAAATAAGAGTGGCTAACATTTAAAAAATAAAGAACTATATAAACATCTGCAATTGTGTATGTTCATTTTATACACCAACTCTTCATTATACCATGTATTTTCTAAGATAGAAAATGGGAAAAAAAATGAATATGATCATTCACTTTTGAAAAGATACTGAAGCTGAATAACTTATATAAACACAGAGACTATTTATTCATACTTCATAATTAATACAGTGAGGCTGCATAATCATTAGCAGATCATTAGACTGGACTATATTGTAGTTGTTGAACATACATATAAACTATATTTAAATATTTATTGTTGTATGGTCAAGTCTTTGCAGGTTAGGAAATGGCATAACAAAATTTTCACAAAAAAATATTAATTCCTGCCTCTCTGTGTTGGATACACCTTAAGGTCCCATGGAAAAACTAATATGTTATCATATACCTAAAACTTCTTCACTTTCCAAGTTCACTTTTCCTAAACCAGCAGTTAGTGGTTGTTTCATTCTATTCTTACTGTTGATACACATAAGGGATTATTAATACTTTATGGCTTTTTCCTCTTTACAATGCAGGTCACCAATATGAGTACTTTACAAATGTGAATTCACGTGTTTTCAAAGACACTTTGGATGGTGGATGAGGTCATGGTGTTATTTTACATATGAGCATAAGAAGACCAAAGTCGGTAGTGTCAACCCGTTTTTGAAATCCAACATGAGGTAGTAAAGCTTTAATTTTTCTGGCATTAGCACTTGGTGTGTTCCACACAGGATTCCCACTCACTTCCCATGCATTAGGAATTTTAAGTCCTTCTGCACATTGTGACATTTCCAGATTGGTCATTTCCACCACTTTTCTAAATTCTCTTGGAGTAACTGGGCCAGGATCATACAGGAAGAGAGAAATTCAGTTGTGTGTGGGGATTATGAAGCTGCCTTAATCCTTTCTTTTTCTGAGGCATTTTTCTACCTCATTCACTGCACATTCAGTTTGCATATTCTGAAAACAAATGAACTTGGAATATCAGAGATAACCTTTAAAACTGGGCCTTGTATGTTGTTTTTCTTTTGCTTTAATATGCAAATAATTTATCAAACATTAAAAAAAGGGGGGGGGGGGGGGACAGGAGATACACATGCATGCTTTCTGCCTTTCTACATCAGACATTTAATGATGTGGAAATGTATATACACTACACAGATTCTGAACAATCCTGTGGTGTTCAGACTGGCCACACAGACAACTTCCCAGTAACTTGTCACTGTCTTATACACACAGAAATCAGAAGAGAGGTCACATACCTTTTCATTGTTTCCACTGTTATTTGCAGATGGCAAAGGCATATGTTGGCTCCAAGAATTATGGATTAATTACAGGCACTCAGGGAAGTTTCTCCTTCCTCCTTAGCCATTCTACATTGCTTTTCTCCTCCTAATCAAGTTCTCTTTGTCTTTAATAAGGGCAGCCCAGCAGAGTTGTATTCCAGTCAGACTACATCTGCACATCAGTGGCTGAACAAGGAAAACCCTCAGACATTATCCTCAGTCTTAGCTTTAGCACCACTGTAACTTTTAATGCCATAACAGAAGTGTAAGAAGTTCTGCTGAGCTCTGAAGTCTTCAGACTAACTACCACTTTGTTAGCCAGAAGGGAGGAGAAAGCAGAGCAGAACTATATGAACAGTTGTTGTAAGGATCTGATGACATTCAAGATGCAGCAGAATATGAGTCTAGTAAATATATAGGAGCTATGTGGCTATGAGGAACTCTGCATATGCAGAGTAAATACAGATGCAATCTTTCTGAAATGTATAAGCCCTACAAGATGTGCATGTAGAAGTGCAGACAATAAAACTGGACAATTTATAGGTAGAAGTAAGAGAAACATAGTTGTATTTACTGAACAGATGGAAAATGTTTTTCAAGGGCTTATTCTGCCAATATTTGATGGCTGTCATAAAAGTAGCAAATTCATATCATTAATATCAGAGAGGTTCTGCTGCCAAACTACAAATCCCTGCTCCAAAATGTGGTGATATTGGACCTTATAGTTCTAAAATTTCAGTACCAGGGAAATTAAATGTGAAAAATATGGTATATGGTGGGAACTATAAACCACCAAGACTTACCTTCATATTGGGAAAATTCATAGAAACTGTTGTAGATATAGTACTGAAAGACAGATGGATAAATATGGTATACCTGGGGAAGAGTCATCATCACTTCCCTAAGTATAAAATAATGCACATTGGGAAAAACAAACAAACAAACAAACAAAAACTACATATATATAAATGGATCCTAAGTCACTATTAATTATTCCTGCTTCTCCTGCAAAAGGAAGACATGGAAATTATTGCAGTTATTTCTCCAAACTAACTCTTAGTACTTAGAAAATAATGTTAAAAGCTGTTGGAAGATGAAAACAAAAATAAGGAGAGAAGAATAAGAAAAAAAGAAAACTAAAATACAGCAGAAAACTTCATTATTGCTGCATGCATGAATGGCATGGTCACACCTTGAATACTACATCTATTTCTGACATTCCTATCTCAGAATAAAAAAAAATAGAAAAGGTGCAAAGAAAGAACACAAAGATAAAAATAGGCTTTGAACTACTTCATTTGAAGTCAAGAACTTGCTTTTATTTTCCCCCAAAATACAGCAGATTCCCTATTATCCATCAGAGAAATAATGGTGTAGAATTATGAGTGATTGGAGAATATGAG